AAAAGATTCCCAGGTGATTCTAATGTGCAGCCAAGGTTGAGAACCACTGCCTTAAGATAATCAAGTTTACTCCTTTAAGAAATCTGATATAAGAAAATCCAGATTTATGATGGTGGTGTTAGCTAACGCTATGGTGGTAATCATTTTGTAATATATAAATGTATCAAATCAACATGTTGTACACCTTAAACTTGCATAATGTCTTATGTCAATTATATCTCCATAAAACAGGGATGGGGAAAAAAGAAAATCCAAACTTAGAAAACTGATAAATTAAGAAGGGTTGTTTTACTGGTGGGGCTATTGTTTAAAATATAGAAAACATAATTTACCAAAATAGGATTTCTACACAACTTTAAGTAACAAGTCAGTTATATATAATGTAAAATAATTCTTTAGCTGTTGAACTTGCTCTCTATTGATATGGTGAATATCAGATAATTAGTGCTCTGTTAGAGGGTAGGATTCACCATTATCAAATATACTAGAGGCCCAATGCACAAAATTCATGCAAGGGGCTCAGCCCTCACAGCCGCGGCAGCTTACCTTGCAGCCCCACCCACTGGTTGTTCTGGAAGGTTGTTCTGCCGTCCGGTCTAATTAGCATATTAGCTCTTTATTATATAGAACTAGAGGCCCAGTGCATGGATTCATGCACCAGTGGGTCCCTCGGCCTGCCGTCCAGTCTAATTAGCATATTAGCTCTTTATTATATAGGACTAGAGGCCCAGTGCATGGATTCATGCACCAGTGGGGTCCCTCGGCCTGGCTTGCACCCTCTCACAATCTGGGACCCCTCGGGGGATGTCGGATAGCCGGTGCAGGCCCAATCCCCACAGGCCCAATCCGGACAGGAGGGAGCCTAATCCTGTGTGTTGAACATCTGTCCCCTGGTGGTCAGTGTGTGTCATAGCGACCGGTTGACCGGTTGACTGATTGTTTGATCGCTTAGGCTTTTATCTATATAGATTATCCTATATAATAGAGAGGTAATACGCAAATTGACCATCACGCCCTCGCACAAGATGGCCCGCCCCCATATGGACACAAGATGGCCAGCAGGGGAGGTCAGTTGTGTGCGATCAGGCCAGCAGGGGAGGGCAGTTAGGGGCGACCAGGCCAGCAGGGGAGGGCAGTTGGGGGTGACCGGGCCTGCAGGGGAGGGAGGGCAGTTGGGGGGGACTGGGCCTGCAGGGGAGGGCAGTTGGGGGT